TGCACAAAGCCCTAATGGAGGGCCCCATCACAACAGGCGCGCTGTTCGGGAGCAGTTTCAAGGCCATGCTGGAAAACTCGAAAAAGTTGGAGGAGGTGTCAGAGACTGTGCGCCACCTCATCAAGCCACGCATCTCATCCCGCCCGCTGGCCCGCTGGAAGGATCGTCGTGAGCAGAGACAGCAACGAACAACGTTCCACGGCCGCAGCAGCGTCGTCTAGCTCCGCTCCACCGCCAGCCCTCTTCATCCCGGCAACCGGCAGTTCAGCGCTTTCCCAGAGATCGCCAACAAGCGGCGCCCTGGGCCAACAAATCGCAGAGCTCATGGGGGAAAAGATTTACAAAATGACGGTCTGCGGAGGGTGTGTGTAAAAATGACACGAGTTTTGAAATAAAACATGAACATCATTCAATGATTAAAGTGTCTGTTTTTAGCCAGTCTGTAAGCTCAGATGAACTCACAGCGGCTGTGCACACATCCTCCACACAAAACGAGCCGGTCTCCTTAAAAAAAGGGTTTTCAGAATCACGGACTGGAGGAACGAGACCGATTTTGGACCTGTCAGTTTTCGACAAGGCAATCATGGACAGATCGTTTCACATGTTGACAACCAGACAACTGTTGGACAACATCCAGAGAAATGACTGGTTTGTTTCCATCGATCTGAAAGATGCCTACTTCCACATACCAATCATCCCAAAACACAGAAAATTTCTACGCTTCTCCTTCCAAGGGATGAAATATCAGTACAACAGGCTGCCATTCAGGTATTCCCTCGTGCCTCGTACATTCTCAAAGTGTGTGGAGACAGCCCTGCAACCGTTACACAGAGCAGGGATGAGAGTTTTGTTTTACCTGGACGACCTGCTGCTGCTGTCACGCTCCAGACGGGAAGCAGGAATGCAGGCTCAGGTGTTGACATCACCCCTGTTAAATCTGGGCTTCGCCATAAATTAAAAGAAAAGCTCGATTCTCCCGGCCCAGACGATTATTTATCTGGGAGAGGAGCTAAACTCGACCACCATGAGGGCTCGTTTATCACAGACGAGAATCAACGCTCTAAGAGTCCAGCTCCGCCACGTAAGACCGGGCAGAGTGGTAACAGCTGTTTCTGTCATGAAGCTGTTAGGAACGATGTTGTCAGCTCTCACAGTGGTCCCGCTGGGTTTACTACACATGAGACGCCTCCAGAGGTGGTTTGCGCGTCTGTGCATGGATCTGGTAAAGCAAAAGAGAGGGATGATCACTGTTCCTCCCTCCGTGAGAGCAGACCTCCGACACTGGGAAAACACCCTGGTTCTGTCGGAGGGAGTTCCCATCAGCAGACCCACGTCACACATGTCAGTCTTCACAGATGCGTCGTTGTCAGGCTGGGGGGGGACATGCCTATCTCAAGCTGTAGGGGCGCTGTGGCCCCATCACACAACAGCTCATATAAATGTTCTGGAGTGTCGCACGGTTTTGAACGTGATTCAACACTTTGCTGCTGTGCTGCAGAATCAACACGTTTTGATTCACACAGACAACAAGGTGACTGCTGCGTACATAAACTGGCAGGGGGGTGTGCGCTCAGCCCAAATGTTACACATTGCGAGAAAACTACTGTGTTGGGTTCACCAAAACCTGCTCGCCATCAGAGCAGTTTACATACCCGGTGTTCTAAACAAAGGGGCAGATGTGATGTCCAGGGGCGGTCCACGTCACGGGGACTGGACCCTCCACCCCGATCTGATGGCTCAGACGTGGCAGAAATTTGGCAAAGCAGCTGTGGACCTGTTTGCAACATGAGAAAACGCTCAGTGTCAACTATGGTTTTCTATGAGCCCGCGAGACGAACGACCGCTGGGGGTGGACGCATTTGCTCACAGCCCATGGCCCAAAATGCTTCTTTACGCATTTCCCCCACCTCCTCTGATTTTACGGTTTTTGAACCGAGTTCAGGAGGAGGGATTGACAGCTCTCCTGGTGGCTCCCAAGCGTGTGAACGCACCATGGTTCCCAGTTCTACAACGCCTGTTATCGGGGCGCCCGTGGAAACTGCCGTGGAAGGAGGATGCTCTCCTCCAGGCAGGAGGAGAGATCAGGAGTTACCCAGAAATAGGCCAGCACCTGTGGGTCTGGCCGCTGAGCGGATCCGCTTAGAGAGGATGGGTCTCCCGCAAGATGTAGTGCGCACAATCCAGGATTCACATGCTGCATCCACCACAGCATTGTACACATCAAGTGAACAGTTTTTCAGTGCTGGTGTACAGAGAAAGGTTTAGAGGCCACCTCATGTCCACTAGGCGACATGTTGTCTTTTCTGCAGCAGCTGATGGACAGAAATTTGGCGTTCAGCACGATTAAAATGTACGCTGCAGCCATCTCTTCTTCTCACGAAGGTTTCGGGGACAGAACAGCTTTTAATCATCCGCTGATGAAGCGTTTTTTAAAAGGTGTACAGAGACGCAGGCTTGTTTCACGTTCACTTGTTCCACAGTGGGATTTAACGCTGGTCCTGCGAGCCCTGATCAAAGCTCCATTTGAGCCTCTAGATCAGGTTCCAATTAAATTATTGTCTCTTAAATCAGCCCTGCTGCTGGCTTTAACATCCGCTAAGAGAGTGAGTGATTTATCTGCCCTCTCTGTCACTCCGTCATGTCTCAGAATTCAGGCTGATGGCAGCTCAGCTGATCTAAGACCAAATCCAGCTTTTATGCCTAAAAACATCATGAGCTCTTTGAAATCAATATAAAAAGGAGATAAGAGATGCTCAATAAGATCCGGTCTGACTGTACACCCTGATTAATGTCATTTTGAAATGTCCCCTCTGACAGGTTCAAGGTGATGAGGACATGGACAGTAAGACTTAAAAACTGCTTCTTTCCCAAATAAGTGAGAGCTCTGCTGAAAACCTGAGTTGAACTTTCTGTTTTTACACTTACTGTTTAAAAGACATTCTGTTGTTTGTATTTGTTGCTGTAAACGAAAATAACATAATTTTAATACTTAAAATATATTTTTCTTATCTTTTCAATTGTTTCTACATGCTGCTCTGAAAGGGACTGCCATCAGAGTGGATTTTGTTGTGCAGAAATATACAGTGACAATAAAGGCTCTTACTTCCTTATTTGAACGCATTTCTGTGTTAGTAACTGTGAAACTAACAACCATGTAAAGGTCTAAAAATTAGCATTTGTGTGAACGTTCATGAAACATTCAATATTTATGATGGCAGCTATCTGCTTGGGTGTCTGCCCCATTCCGACTAGCCATTAGCTCATCATTAAGAAATACTCATTTTTTCTAATAACTTTCAGAAAGTTGTCTTCAACAGGTAAGATAGTCGCCCAATATGTTTCCTCAAAACCTTGAGACAGTGATCCACGCCTTCATAACATATAGGCTTGATTACTGCAATTCACTTCTGTTTGGAATCAGTCAGTCCTCCATTGCTCGTCTACAACTGGTCCACAATGCTGCAGCCCGATTTTTAACTGGGACAGGCTATAGAGAGCACATCACGCCAGTTTTGGCCTCCCTACACTGGCTACCCATTCACCTTCGGATCCAATTCAAAATTATCCTGTATGTTTTTAAATCACTGAACAGTTCCGCCCCATCCTATCTCACTGATCTTCTGCAGCCATATGTCCCACCGCGCTCTCTGAGGTCAGCAGACCAGATGCTTCTCTCAGTCCCAGAAACCCGTCGTAAGCTCAGAGGTGACAGGGCTTTCTCTGTTGCAGGTCCACGACTGTGGAATGAGTTGCCACTGAGTGTCCGGCAGGCTCCCACACTCTCAGTCTTTAAGTCTCGCTTGAAGACCCACTTCTATTCGCTTGCCTTTAACACGATGTGATTTGTTTTGGTCCGGTCTGTTCTCTACTCTGTTGGCCATTTTAGTTAGCTTCTGCTGCTATTTGTATCTGTATTTCTATTTTATGTTTTCCTGTCCGCTGTGCATGTTTGTGTTCTTTTGTACAGCACTTTGGTTGGCCTTGTTGCTGTTTTAAGTGCTATATAAATAAATTGGTATGGTATGGTATGGTAAAACCTCTCTTCAAATTAGCTGAACTATCCCTTTAAATAATTTATTGTTAATTATAATGAAAATAAAGGATATTAGTAAAGTGACCAGATTTGTGTTTACATCTCGGCTCCACATTTGCTGCACAGTAATGTGGATAATTTAGGGAATATTTAACATTGAAGCATAAAATTAAAACAACTTCCCCACCCCACAACAACAACAACAACAACAACAAAAACACCTTTAGACCCCAAAGCTGTTCATGGATAATCTGCAGTTGGTGCACGTGACATCATGTTAGATCGAGCAGGATGTGTGGAGTGTGATGGTGGTTGGCACTGGACCCCCTCCCTGCCTGAAAGTCAACCCCTCTGCTCTTTGCAGGGTTGCTATAAATACATCAGTAAGTCATAAACGATGAGGTGTCTTGAATTTTAAACCAAACTGACAACTCAGCCCCTTGTGGGACAATTTCCCTCTTTCCCTTTAACTTGCGTTTCATTTGTTTGCAGCATCTGTCCACGGTTCTCACGAGTTCAAATTTAAACTTTTCATTCCGAGCTGCCATAACCAGCAGGTGGCTTATGTGCCATGTGAGATCTGTACTATTTCTCATAAAAACAGGAACCATATCTTACTTCCTGGTTGTAAATGACATCACATCTTTTAGTTTCCATCATGTCCAGCATGGGTGAACTGGACACATAAAGCGCGTGTGAGGAGCGAAGTAAATCCGTGTGTGTGGACGGTATCATGTCGGCCTGTCTGATTCAGGTTTACTGGGTTAGATCAGGCCGTCTGAGTGGGTCTGTGTGGGTCTGTGTGTCGGCAGGACAATGCTGCGGTTCTTCGCTCTGCGCGCGTCAACGGAATCCCGGAGTGCGTCATCGCGCACAGCACGCGCTGTGATTGGCCGCGGCTTGGAAACCTCTCTGGCGTCATGGGCACGAAAGAGCAAAGAATAAAGCGAGTAGTGGAGAGGAGAGTGGAGGGAGTGACTGTCAGTGAGGCTGGAGGATGACAGATGGTCGCTGGTAGCAGCAGACAGCTCATCACCGACAGGTAAGAACCGGGTCTCACCTTTTCAAAGCGTGAAAGAGTTCCTGCTTTTAGCTGATTTGAAAGAGTTTCTGTTTTTGCTAAAAGGCTTTAGTTGTTAAACGACTTCTGTCGACCTGCTGAGCTCCTGCGTGTGTTGGTAAGAGACAATCCCCCTGAGGTTTGCAGTGTTTCTATATTTACTGTGCAGTGACACAGTCACGAGTGTTCTTACTGAGACCACGAGGAGCATTTGACTCTCCAGGTTTTCTCCGAACTGACACTCTATAAGGTGTTGCAACAATTAAAGCCTCAAAGAGCCAGAGGTTCCCCAACACTCAAGTCCACATAGCAGATAATCATAAAATGGAACAGAATAGAAAAAAGCTTTAAAAAATGCACAACTAATGCAATATGGTTCTCAAATGTGTCAGTCTTTTTGTTTGTTTCTTTGGTTGTCATATTTAAATGGGATGTGTTTAACTTTGGAAACTGTTCACTCACTGATGTTCACAGAGCTGAAACAGACGTAATACTGAGTTCAAGGCATTAAACATTCTTCCTGTATCAGATTTAAAACGTCTTAAAACCTGACAAATGAAGCCTTTTGACTTTTTTTTTTACTCTTTCTCAGTTTTGCAGCCATGACGTGCATCCACCCCCAGTTTGGATCTCAGTTCTATGAGAACAGCGTCAACGGCTCCGAGCTCCAGACTCTAGACTTCTACTCTAGACTGACTGTGGACCAGAACAGCAGCCCGCGGGACCACCTCTCAGCATCGTCCCTGCCTAGCATCGGCTCCCTGGTGGGAACACCTGCAGGAAACTTTGATGCATACTCGTGCCAGTTCACGACAGCCCCTGCTCACGTAACCCCGGCCTCAGGCCAGGACAGCCCCTTCCCACTGGATGAACCTCAAGTTTACGGCTGTTACACGGGACCGTTTATGCTGAGTTATCTTGACGAGACCAGTGGGTCAGACTATTTTGGCAGCCCGGCTTCAGAATCATCTCCTTCAACGCCCGGGTACCAGACTCAGCATGTGTCTAACTGGGATTCAGCTTATGGGACATTCTCTACCAGCCCTGGATTCTGGATGCCCGAGGACACCTCTGTACCACACACACCATCTTTTTTCACGTTCGGATCAGGATCTGTGGAGGACGTGCCTCATTTGGGTCAACAACTTTTGCGAGAGCAGGAATCTTTTGCCGTGGCTCATCCTCACGTCTCTGCCTTAACCGCCCCCTCCATGGCAATGGAGCAAGCATGTGGTCTTGATGGCACCAAACAGCTGGACGGAAGCTCATCGCCCAAGTTAAAGAGTGGAAGTGAGGGCAGCTGTGCCGTGTGTGGAGACCATGCCTCCTGTCAGCACTATGGGGTTCGCACCTGTGAGGGCTGCAAAGGATTTTTCAAGGTAATAAGATGTGACTAGTCTGTAGACATATTTGTACCACGTTTCCAGTAAGGTTTACCCTCACTCCTCATTTTATTTTTTATTTTTTTACAGCGCACAGTCCAGAAAAATTCCAAGTATGTCTGCCTCGCTAACAAAGACTGTCCTGTAGATAAGAAGAGACGAAACCGATGCCAGTTCTGCCGCTTCCAGAAGTGTCTCACAGTGGGGATGGTCAAAGAAGGTGAGTAAAGTATGAGAAGAACCAGCAGGGACAGAGTGGGACCAGTAATCAGTTTGATCTGAGACCAGTTCAGTTTTTTAAAATCTGAAACAGTGTGGTTCTTTTCATTCTATTTCATCAGTTGTCGTAAAAATGTTTAAATTTCTGTTTTGGTTGGGTAAATCCCTCACTTGAAACATTTAGAATCAGAATCAGTTTATTATCGCCATGTCAATGAACGAGGTTCACAAACTAGGAATTTGCTTCGACATAAGGTGCGAATAGTAATAAATGGTCGACATAATAACTGAGTTCAAGGCATTAAACGTTCTTCCTGTATCAGATTTAAAACGTCTTAAAACCTGACAAATTAAGCCTTTTGACATTTTTTTTTTACTCTTTCTCAGTTTTGCAGCCATGACGTGCATTGTTTACTGGGTGCACTTTATAACTCTGACTCAAATTGCTCAACAGAACCTTTTTTTTGTTTCCAGTTGTGAGAACAGATAGTCTGAAAGGACGAAGGGGTCGTCTACCTTCAAAGCCTAAAATCGCCCGCGATCTGACAACCACTGCGTCTCCGGTGAGCCTGATCTCTTCTCTTGTGAGGGCCAACATTGAGTCAAATCCCAACGATGTGTTGCTGGATTATTCTAAGGTGAACAGAAACAGAGCTCCATAAATGTCTGTTTTTACAGTGTAGTTTGACCAAAGCAGAGTAAAGTGAGACTCGCTTCTTAACACCTGTTTGGTTTGTTGTTTCAGTATTTTGAAAAGGAAGTCAGCTTAGACCAGAAGGAGGATGTCGGTGACATCAGACAGTTTTATGACCTCCTCACAGCCTCCTTTGAGGTCATCAGGAAGTGGGCGAAACATGTCCCGGGTTTCTCTGATTTCTGCTCCGAGGATCAGGAACTCCTGCTGGAATCTGCATTAGTTGAACTCTTCATCCTGCGTCTTGCATATCGGTGACTGCACTTGACTTTGTTTTTGAAGTTATTATCATTATAGAAAGATTGTAGGTTTAATTTGTTCTTTAAGACAGAACCAACAACCTGTATTTTCTTTTTTGTAGGTCTGATCCTGAGATGAAGAAGCTCATCTTCTGTGACGGGACTGTCCTTCACAGAACTCAGTGTGTCCGAGGCTTCGGGGACTGGATCGACTCCATCTTGGAGTTTTCTCGAAGTCTTCATCGTATGAAGCTGAGTGACTCCTCCTTCGTCTGTCTCACAGCTCTGGTCACGATCACTGGTGAGATCATCATACTCATGTCAAGTTTAAACTTTTTAATTCAAGCAAACTTTGGGATCTTCTTTAGGCTTTATTACAGTCACAACACAGGACTGGAACAACAGGTGCACGGCAAAGTGTAACAGGATCTCATTTATAATGAGATGTCATGTATCACTGCAGACACAGTGAAGACCCAGCAAACTGTTCTAGTGTTTAGCAGAGTTGCAGGTTTTATTTTAATAAACTCTATTTTAGTTGTCAAGTTTCCAAATAAACCTTGTAAATCATTTTCCTCACTGCAATCGTTTCACACCAAACACATTATTCTTTTATTTTAAAAACTGAAAACTTAAGCATGTTTTCATTTCTCTCTGCAGACAGGCATGGTCTTAAAGAGCCGAGGCGCGTGGAGGACTTGCAGAGCCAGCTCATCACCTGCCTTAAAGACCAGGTTTCTGCCTGTGCCTCTGAGTTCCTGCAGCCCAATTACCTGTCCAGACTTCTGGGGAAGCTGCCTGAGCTCAGGACTCTGTGCACCCAAGGCCTGCAGCGCCTCTTTTACCTGAAAATGGAGGACCTTTTACCCCAGCCTCCAATTGTGGAGAAAATCCTAATGGACACGCTACCGTTTTAAAGACGGACAATGTGAGGAATCTGTGAATGTAAAAATCTGGAGTTTATTTGGGAGCCAAAGAGAAAAGACTTGGTGCTCGTACTCCAGATGAACAAAATGAAACTGCAAAGTTGTGAAGAGTTAAAATCCTGAGGGATTCTGCAGCATGAAAAATGCTACTTCTGTGTAAGAAGGTGAATCATATTGTTAATGACAAAGTATCTGGATCCAGTACACAAAGCTCATTTTAGTTGACGTTCTGGAAAACTGTAGTCAAGCTGAATTAGAAAGGTCCTTCAGCGGGGCCACACAGTGACTGTTTACATTGAACAACACATCATGAATGGAGGGACGATGACTCCTGTCACTCACAATTTGACTCCTATTAATATCTGAACCTTGTTTTGGGTAGAAGTACATAATACAGTCTGGTACTTACACTGGTAGGTACCATGTACATACCTGGTACTTATCTGATCATAATCGGGTATATGCTTGGTACTTTCAGGTACCCAGTAATTACCCTGTTCTTGCAGTAGGTAGGTAAATCTGATAAGTGCCAGGTACCATAACTTTTTACCATCTTAAACATGATTAAAGCATTATTGTAGTCATGTGAAGCTCAAATATTAAAAGTCTTGCAGCTCAGATTAGATTAAATTAAATTGAAAGCAGTGAGTCATTTGACAGAACCAAGCTGTGATACAGGTAGCCTTCACCTTGATGTTGGACAGAAGTCACTTAAAACTCATGTACACTTTATATTTCATGCCACCATCAAAGTTTGGTGATAAGGAAGTAAGTTAAATGGTATCATTCATGTATCATGAATCAGCATTGAGCAGCTAATATACTGTGTATTATCCAGTACATTCTTACACTGACTGGTCTTGTTTGTAAATAACAATAAATCTGTATTAAAACTCGAAGGTGCTTTGACACGTGAACTGTGTCCCGTAGTGTAGGAACATTTTATTGCGTGCTTATTATTTTTACATACTACGATGAACCTTTATTGCTGAACTTCAAATAAAATACAAAAGTGCACATTCTAAATGCATTTGTTGTTCTTAATTTTTTTTCTTTTGGGGGTGGGGGTCTTGAATGATGAATTCAGGAAATTTAGTCATTGTTTTACGTACATAAAGGTCAAATATTCCTTGAAGGAATCCATATCACTTATCCACCTCTAATGCCAGAATTTTGAACTATTAAAAACAACAGATTTGTTTTAGCTCTTTTAGTCAAACCTTGAGAGCCAGTGAGTTGTGCTGATGTCTTCATCGGCTTATGAGCTTGGAAACAGAGCAGAGAATTGTCCTGTTCTAACAGCTTGTAAACCTTAGTCAAGTACAGATTCTTCTTTTGGCAACACATCAAAACACGCGCCCCCCCCTCCCACCAGCCCAGTTATGTGCTGGTCTCTTTTTAGAAGGCGATAGAACTCCCTGCCCAGTCTCAAGTAACCCAGACCACTCACATGAACGCATACATGCGTGGCATCACATGAATGCACACCACATGGTGCTTGGAGTATTGTTTGGGAGAATAGCCAATAGTTTACGATAAAGAAAGGCTATTTCTCACGGTGACTGATGACATGGTGTAATGATCCCAACCAGACAAAGTATGGAGGGACCAGAAACTCAATCATTAGTGATTAGCAAGGACTAATCAGCACAGAGAGGTCGACGCAGAAGCAGAAAGGGGCAATACATAATGAAAATGAGGATTTCTTTTCGATACAAAGATGAAACAGCATGCAGAACACAAAGGTTAATAAAATAGCTAGTTTAATGTGGTCTAGTGTGATTTAGTGATCAGAATGTAACTGTCACATACAGATGACTTGTACAAAACTGTATTTGTTGTGTATTGATTAATTTGCATGTTTGATTTGGCCAAGATTTTTTGGTGAATGTCCTTACTGATGCAACCTTCCCCATAATCTGAGCTTAGGACCAGTACTGGGCCTGTGGCTCCTCTTGGATGTGTTACCCCATTGTCGATGGAGAAACATCAAGAAGGTCAGAAGGAGTTACACTGTGTCTTTGTGGATCTATGATATGGTAAGATGATAAGATACTTAAAGAGGAACTTTGTTACTGTATCATGTCATGTCAGGTGTGATGACGAAGTTTGAGAGGTTAATGCAGGACATGTGCAAGGACAGTGAAAGTGACAGATGAGTTCAAGATGGATTACATCAGGGATAAGCTCTGAGCCTCTTCTCAGTTTCAGTTGTGATAGACAGGTTAACAGATGGAGTCAAGCAGGAAGTTCATGAACCATGGTGTTTGCAGATGACACTGTGATCTGTGGAGAGTTGGGAATAGGTGGAAGAGAGCCTGGAGAGGTGGAAATGTGCTCTGGAGAGGAGAGGAATGAAAGTCAGTAGAAGTAAAACAGCATACATGTGTGAATGGAGCAGTGAAGCTGCAAGGAGTGGAGGTGCTGAAGGTGGATGACTTTAAGTACCTCATGGTTGATCATCCAAAGCCAGACAGAAGAAACAGGCAGTGAGGAGAATAGTGCCAGAGTTGATTTGTGGCAGAAGGAAAGCTGCAAGAGGGAAAAGGAAGGTTTACAAGATGGTTGTGCAATCTGCTATATATGATGGTGGGCATTGAGATGGTGGCACACACACAAATGACTGGAGGTAGAGGTATAAGAGGCAGAGAGGAAAATGTTAAGATTTTAACCAGGAGTGACCAAAATGGATAAGTTTAGAAACAAGTTTAACAGAGGGACAGCTCAGGTTGAGTGGTCTGAAGACAAAGACTGAGATGGAGTGGACAGATGTATAGGAGGGACATTAAATATATTGGACAAAGCATGTTGAATATTGAGCTGCCAGAGGAAAAGAGGAAGTGCATAGAGAAGGTTCATGGATGTAGCACCAGAGGATCTAGAGAGGGTTGGTGTGACAGAGGAGCATGATGGAAATAAAGGTAGATGGATCTTCGGCAACCCCAATCATTTATGGAAATTCAATTTTAAGCAATATAAAAACTAGAAAGCACATGATGGGGTGGTCAGATTACCTACTTACAGTGGTGCTTGAAAATTTGTGAACTCTTTATAATTTTCTATATTTCTGCATAAATTTGACCTAAAACATCATCAGATTTTCACACAAGTCCTAAAAGTAGATAAAGAGAACCCAGTTAAACAAACGAGTCAGAAATATTATACTTGGTCATTTATTTATTGAGGAAAATGATCCAATATTACATATTGTATTTGTGATGGTAAAAGTATGCGAACTTTCAGGATTATCAGTTAATTGAAGGTAAAATTAAAGTCAGGTGTTTTCAATCAATGGATGATGATCAGGTGCGAGTTTCACCCTGTTCACCCTGCAAACCCACCCACACAGACCAGTATTTGCAGTTTGACTCCCATCACCCTTTGGAGCACAAGTTAGGAGTCATCAGGACTCTGTATCACATAGCAGACAGCGTCCCCACTAGCTCAGGAGCCAGGCAGAAGGAGAAATCCCACACAAGACAGGCTCTAGAGCAATGTGGATATCCTAACTGGGCCTTCCTGAAAGCAGAGAAGAAACCCAAACAGGACTCCAGTCAGCCAACAGGTGAAAAGGAGGAACCCAGACCCAGACCAGTGGTCATTCCATATGTTGAGGGAGTATCAGAGAAACTGAGACGTTTATTTTCTAAACATAACGTTCCAGTGGTTTTTAAACCCCAAAATACATTACGGCAAAGACTGGTTCATCCCAAAGATCCAGTCCCCCGGCACAAACAGAGTAATATTGTGTATGCTGTTCAGTGTCAGGAGGGTGATCAGTCTTACATCGGGGAAACAAAACAGCCACTGGCCAAAAGGATGGACCAGCACAGAAGATCAACATCATCAGGCCAGGACTCTGCGGTCTACACTCATCTCCAGTCCAGCGGTCACTCTTTCAGGGATGAAGATGTTCCCATCCTGGACAGAGAGGAACGATGGTTTGAGAGAGGAGTAAAGGAGGCCATCTTTGTGAAAAGAAATCGTCCATCATTAAACAGGGGTGGAGGCCTCCGGGTTCAACTGTCCCCTTCTTACAATGCTGCGATTGCTAGTATCACTCAGACTCCTGTGAATAGTAAACAGCCATCAGTGTGCTAATGATCCATTGTTTGGCTGATGGTCCTTCTTGAGCATGTGAGCAGCTGGTTTTGGTTGTCAGCAGCAAACTGGTTGATCCACTCTGAGAAGGTGCTATTTAAGAGACTGAGCTGAATACAGCACCTCAGACTGAGGAAGTCTCTCGGATGAGAGACGAAACGTTTCTACATTTTTTTGTTGATTTGCTTTGTTTTGTTTTTTTGAATGTCCAGAGGACCAGATTTAACTTTTTTAGATTTTTCTACCTGTATTATTGAGCATGCATCAGGAAATCTGTGTCCTCATTTACCCATTCATACAGCACTCTACTAGATCTATACAAAGTTAATTGAACAAATCATTCTAAAGAGACTAATCAGAGCTTTTTCACATTCATACACTGATGGGACACACATCAGAGGCAACGAGGGGTTCAGTGTCTTGCCCAGGGACACTTCAGCATGTGACTGCTGGTGGATTCGAACCCCCAACTCTCAGATTGGAGGACGACTGCTCTAACCACTCAGCCACAGCCACCCAACAAGAACATTGCTGCTCATCTGCAGTTTGACAAAGACCACGTGGACAAGTCTGAAGATTGTTGGAAGAAAGTTTTGTGGACGATGAGACCAAAATAAACTTTTTAGTTGAAATGAAAAGTGTTACGTTTGGAGAAAGGAAAACTCTGCATTCCTGCTGAAGAACCTTATCCCATCTGTGAAACATGGTGGTGGAAGAATCATGGTTTGGACCTGTTTTGCTGCATCTGGGCCAGGGCAGCTTGTCATCATTGATGAACAATGAATTCTGAATTATATCAGAGAATTATAAAAGAAAAAGTCAGAACATGTGTCCATGACCTGAATCTCAAGAGAAGGTGGGTCATGCAGCAACACAATGACCCTAAACACACGAGTGGTTCTACCAAAGAATGGTTCAAGAAGAATAAAGTTCATGTTTTGGAATGACCAAGTCAAAGTCCTGCTCTTAATCTAATCCAGATGTTGTGGAAGGACCTGAAGCAGCAGTTAATGTGAGGAAACCGGTTATTAGTTAGTAGTTAGTACTAGTTAGTAGTGATTGTTGCATGGGGGGGGGGGGGGTCAAACCAGATAAAAGCAAAGGTTCACATACTTTTACCATCACAAATATGTAATATTGGATCATTTTCCTCAATAAATAAATGACCAAGTATAATATTTTTGTCTCGTTTGTTTAACTGGGTTTTCTTTATACTTTTAGGACTGTGTGAAAATCTGATGATGTTTTAGATCAAATTTATGCAGAAATATAGAAAATCATTAAAGAGTTCACAAACTTTCAAGCACCATTTGGTATCTTGGATTTTGACATGGCAACCCAATTTTCAAAACAGATCTTTCTTAATCCTAGATACACACCAAAAAGGAAGTCGATACCTC